CCGACGTGAGGGATCGATAAATCTTTTACGATGCAATATCGTTCAAGTTATCTTCGATGAAAGGAAAGTTAGCGGTTAAAAGTTACGATAAACTTACGAGTTTCATAATAGAAATAATAAACGATCTTTCAAGTAAAATAATAATATAACATGGAATATAAGATAAAAAGAGAAAAAAAAACATAAATAGCACACGCGTATTTTCTTCGTGTTACGTTTTGTTTTTTTTTTTATCGTCAATCCAATAAATACCTCGAAGCTTTAATTAATTCATTATTATCAAAATCTACTCGTAAATATTTTTTATAATTTGATTGAATCAAAAAAATAATTAATATATATGTTTCTTCGCATAAAAGAAAGAGAAAAAGGAAATGAAAATTAATTGAAAACATGGGAGAGGAAAATCGTACAGAAATTGATTTATTTTTCCCTTTCCCCTTGTTTTCGTATCTCTTTCCCACTCGGATGCATACATTTCTATATCACTGTTGTACGTGTGCTGAAATCGTGCAGTTGCCAATCGAGCGAAAAATTTGAAACGATAACGATAGAACCGGTACTGTTATAGATACGACGGAAGCGAGAATTAATGAGCGAACGTTTGTCTAACGAAAATTTTCGAAAGCCGGGCTTTGCTTTGCGAATTTTTCTTCCAATCTGCCGTGTTGCGAAACGATTTCTATTTCAAAAATAAAAAAAGAAATTTGTAGATAAATAAAAAGATAGGAAGATTACCCCGTTTATTTATTTGCTCAATATTTTCCTATACACATTTGTAGTTATTATTTTGTAAAATAAATGATCAGCATACGTGAATATATAATATATATTTTCTTGGTACGTACAATAAACTGTCGTTACTTTAAAATAAATGGTCAGAGTAACATATTTATAAAGAGAATAAGTATTAATATTTTAACATACATATTATATTAAACATTTATTTAAAATACTGACCGAAAATAGTAGAGAAGAATATTAACCCAATTAATAAGAATTGAAAATGATGATATAACAAATGAAAATGAAAATATTCACTTAAACGAAATACCAGGTACATCTCATATATATATATATATATATAAATGAGAACAATTATGTATCGTTCAAATATTAAAATACGAATGAACTATATGTTAAAAAAAAGAATATTATATTATAAACAGAGATGATCTATTATAATTAAAGGATATAATGAAATCGCGTTGGAGCATTAATTCGACGAATCTTCTTTACCGACCTTAAGATGCATCTCTAAATCAACTATTAACGGTCGTAAGTTATCCGTTTAGGTGTTGGAAATAGGCTTTCCTCTTGGCTTAAACGTACGTATATGTATAGACTTGCATACCTATAGGTGTATGTGTAACCACGTAACCACACAACCAGTACACAGAAATGTGAACGTGAATACTTGCGAAAGGGGTCGTTCTAATTATTTTGCTCGGTCTCTCGCAACTAACGTGATATCGGTGCTAGACACTCGGGGCTGACGCCTGCCACGTCTCGATACTAATACATTCATTTATAATTATCCTATATAATTTGTGGCCCTGTCCTCACTTTCTCAACCAAGGCCCTTTCCCTTCTAGGAAGAATTTCTTAGAAACATTTCCTCTCCTTTCTTCTCCTGTACGTAAGAAAACTACTCTTCTCGTACGTATATATAAAATATTTCTATGTATTCCAGGTGCTTGACAATTTTATATTCTCAACAAATAAATACGTTTACTTTTCTTTGACCATAAAGAACAAAATATAAGATATTTCACGAAGTTTGAGAAAAAGTCTTTCGCGTTAAATCCGAAAAGGGTAATTAAGTTCAAACCCTTAGCCCCTCCTACTCTTTTTCCCCCTTCTACATTTTCCGTTGAATTATGAAAGAGACGCGAAGTGTATAGGACGAAAAAGGGAAAGAGGAAGCTTCAGCTTCCTCTCTTTCGAGCACCTTCGAAATGGGGTTGTAGAGCAGTTGTAGGACGAGCACTTAGACCAGGATATAATTTGCTGGCAGAGTTTCCGGCCAGCCGAGTACCGAGGAAATGGATTAGTGCCGGGAGTCGCGATGGTACCTGCTAATTACGAAAAGTATATCCGTTATTTCAATCGTATTATCTAACACATAGAACGTGCGGTCCCGTCGTCCTTCCAATTACTGCTTACAATGAAATAACAATTAAAGTTCCTCCCTAAATCTGCCTACCTACTTAACTACCTGTAGGGAAAGTAAAGGAATACAAGCTGCTAGGCAACAGCGCATCGTCTTATCGGTAAAAACACGAACGTGGTTAAAACTTTTTAATCGTATACCAACATCATGGTGGTGGTATTCTTTCCTTCAGCCCAATCCGCCACTCCAACCCTCGTATCCTTCCACTACCACCATCCACTATCTAGCCCGTACGCGTATTAAGTAGAAAAAAAAACAAAAAATATAATAGAAAAATGAGGAAAGAAATAATACGGTTGAGATAAGTCGAATGAGAAACGAAGGAAATAATAATAATTCTATATCAAGTTTTTTATTCCGAAGAGAATTTCATCTTAGAGACATTTACTTTTTTTCATATAAAGTTTATGTCTAATGGAATCATAATTTCATATTTTTTTTGGATTAGAGATTTTGTTAAATATGATCTATACGACGATACACTATATATATGGATATCATACTTAAAAGCATTAGTTAGAAACATTTTGACGTATATCCTCGATAAAAGATCGTATAAATGTGAGAATCAGAGAACGAGAGATAGAGAACAAAACAAATGAATAAACAAACGCGATATCTGATCGATATCTGAGCTTATCGATGCGTTGCAATTTCGCGAACCATTTCGTATACGTTGTACATACATATCTCGCGGGTGCAGCCAGCTTACACGATAGAGATCAACGAGATACATTACGATTCTCTTCTGGTATCCAGTTCAAACGGAATGCATTGTACGCGTGGGTAAATATGCTTTGCGTGTCGATCAAGGTATACCTAGCTCACACGAATTTACCTACTCTTTTAAATAAGAAGAAGGAAAAGAAAAATACGCGCGAAAGTGAACAGTTTATTTTTTAATTCGAACGACAAAAATATAATAAAATTTACGATCGGATAATAATGAAAGATTTTACGTGTCCTGTTTATAAAAGAAAGGAGGAAAAATGAACGATTGAAATGAGAAAAAGAATAGATCATGTAACACCCACCTCACGCGATTTTCGTGTCTCGTTTGCAAGAAGAAAAGAAAAATCGAAAGGCAAATAAAACAAGATTTTACATTTTTCTTTTTGTTGTTGTCTATTTGAAAAAAAAAGAACGATGTCTAGGTTTGAACAAAATGAATGATTTAAATAAAAAAGATAAAAAAGGAAAGAAAAGTATAAGAACAAGAGCACATCCATTTCCTCTTTTCCAAGAGTTTTAGGTCTAAAAGAAAAGTTTAGCACTTTCGGTGCTGAAAAACTATTTCGCTACTCTGTGTTCTGAAAGTATGTGAGGTGAATGAAAAAAAGAAGGTAGTATTTATTGGGTCAGCATTTGTAGAAAATTTTCACAATTATTTCAAACAAACGTATAAGGGATGAGTAAATTAGCGAAAGAAAGGATAGATAAGTAGAAAGAGCATCTTGTAATGAAAATCCGTTGGACAGAATGAATTCCTTTGTCCATGACAATTTGTACGATTAAGTCGACTGGATCGATGCCATAACGCTAAATACCATTATCTACCTACAAGAACGGTATATTTTTGGTCCAAGTAAATGTACCTTCCTCAACCGAAGGGATCGTCTTAATGTCGTGTAATTAAGATTGCTCGTGCTTGGAATTAATTCGATCATGATAATGACGATGACGATTAACTCAAGATAATGAATCCTTCGGATAATACATTCAATGTATGAATTCACGATAAATATAATATTATAAAATACATCGATACAATTTATATAAAAATACTCGTCAAACATTATTTTAGCTATATATATATATATATATATATAATCTTTCATCAAATTATATCTGTGTATTAATAATACGACAGTAATTCGCACGTAGTAGTGTTTATAATTAACCACGCTTCGATATACCCTGATGGACCAATTTCAGCAACGTAATCGAGGATTTAAAATGGCATGAGTAATAGGAGATACCTATTACTGTGTGATGCTAAAGTTCATACCAAAAATTCCACCTATGAAATTTGAAATCAAACGAATCACGACCTGTGGAACTGTTAGTTAACTCGAAATTTGATCTGGATATCGATACTCGAAAGAGAGTCTACTATTTTTATTGCGTATACTTTAAACGTGATCTTCTATTGATGAGTTTAGTTGCGAGATTAATGCAATTTACCAGACATATATATTTTTCATATATATATATATATATATTTTTGATATTTATGCATTCGTATCGATATTCGAAAAAAAGAATGTACATTTTTATTGTTATAATTAAACAGACGAATGCAAAGAGAGAAAAAAAAGAAGATAAAAGTTATTGTTTTACGTGCGTTATAATAACGTATCAAGGATTACGTCCTTGATTTTTCTCTGTCAGTTAATCGAAAGCAAGACATATGCGTGCATATATCACTCGAGTCACGTTTTCTTCCCTAATATATGAATTTCCAAGCAAATCGCGTGTGTACTCGCTACGTTGTTGGTATACCGAACGTAACCATGATAAAGAGAAGCAAACTATCCTTCACGACACTAGCAAAGGAGGGTCAATTGAAGAAAATTTTTATTATTTATTCGTGATGTCAGTAAGCGCAGATGAACAAAAAGAGAGAGAGAGAGAGATGCATGACGGAAGGATTTAAACAATTGATATTGAAATGGTTTCAAATTAATTACTATCGTCAACTACGAACTACGACACGTGGTTTGCGTCATGACATTAATAAGAAGAATCAGAAGGAAAAAAGAGGAGGAGGAACTGTATATGCACTTTTCCTTCTTATATGTATTTGGCACCATTACCACACGTTAGAATTAAGTTTAGCCAGTTGTCGTTGGCACGGCCAGTGTGTCAAGATCATTCAAACTATCGTCTTGCATATACTACTCGAAAAGAAATCATTCAAGAAGAAAAGTTAATAAGGATTCGATTAATAAGTGAAATTTATTTTGATATACTTTCTTTTTAATTGAGTATTACTATTACTAGTATTTTGTGTACTCTTGTCTACGTTCAACGACAAAAACAATTACAACAATAACAACAACAACTTAAAGAGTGTATTTCGTAAAGGAAAACGAGCGGAAAGTGAACGACAGGTGAATTCGACAAGCTTAAAAGAGAAACGCCCTTCGACTGGTGAGAAAGAGAGAGATAGAGAGTGGCTCGTGCGATCGATATTCGCGAGAGGTAGAATATGCGAGATAGAAGAGCAGGAGAGATAGATAGATAGATAGATAGAGAGAGAGAGAGAGAGATAGAGAGAGAGAGAGAGAGAGAGAGAGAGAGAGAGAGAGAGAGAGAGAGAGAGTGAAAGGGGGTGGAGGAAAGGGGGAGAACAGAGAGCTTTTGGTNAGAGAGAGAGAGAGAGAGAGAGAGAGAGAGAGAGAGAGAGAGAGAGAGAGAGAGTGAAAGGGGGTGGAGGAAAGGGGGAGAACAGAGAGCTTTTGGTTTATACCACGATAACGGTAATTCCGCGGTCTACCTAGCCTACCTTAGGAGATTATGACCAAGGAGATACCGTGATACATACCATGCGATACCATCTAGATAATCTTTACTTCCCATAGACATCTTGATATAAATTAGATCGAAGTTACGATCGAAGTTACGATCGAAGAAGAATCGATTGTCAAACACAATCGATGAATTTGATTGTTTTCAAATATTATAATTTTATTCTGAACGTTCTAGGATCGATCATAACGATTGCATTCGAATTCTTTATTAAAATTCTGCCCACGTGCAATTACTTTTGTTCGTTTAATATTGTAACAATTATATAATTGGAAATCTATTTTTTCTCCTATTATTTTCATTTATTTGGTTAACATTTTTTTTGATAATAATTAAAAATTCATATATTCGAGATGGTAACGAGTTTAATTATAACATATTTCGATTGTTCTCCAATTCTCCGATTATAATATTTAGAAACTTGGAAAATATTCGAGACTACAATTTCAACGAGTTTGATTTAGTTGGCTTCTGGGGTTATCCAATTAATTTTCAAATTACATAAGTATATATTACATAATATATCACAACCGTAAAAACGTCAACGCGGTACAGTAATCCAGAACTTATGTTAGTATCGTTATGCTACTCTTTCTCTTTTGGTTTTCGGCGAGACATGAACACACGAAACGATAAATTTGTGGCACGCGGTGGCCTGTTAAATGTTCAATGAATGATTCACAGACTGATTATATTCTCTCCCGTTTTCTCTCGCGAGAGTAAATCCATCTGATTTATCGAATTAGGCTTTCCCTTCCCTTACCTTTCTATAATTTTATCGAAAACAGAATGGTTCTATCGAATATATGAATCGTCTTAGATATTATATATTTAGATTTATAATTGGTGAAAAATATTGTATTACGTAGAATACATTGAGATAGGATTGGAACGATCGATCGTAATGCGAACGATACGTTGCGAACGGTTAAGGGATGGTTAAAAAAAAAGAAATAAATAAAAAAAAAACAAAAAAAAAAGAAATTCCAGAGAGGAAAAATAAAGCAAAGAAATGAAATAACAGAGAAGGTTTCGTTTGATCGTAGGAGAAGGATGGAGAGAAGAAGAAGAAGAAGAGGGGGGGTGACAGTGGTAACAGCAACGGTGGTGGCTCTGGTCACGGCCTTGCTGATGGTGCAGGGTGTGGTGGGTGAAGCCACGAGTAATCCTCTCCGTGCCTCCCACCTCACCCTCGATCAATACTCCCCTTCACCCCCGTACCACCATGGACTGTTCGGGTTTTACGGAAGAAGAAGCAACGACGACGGAAGCTCAGATGAGAATGACTACCAACAACAACAACAACAACAGAAACTGCAGCAACTGCAGGGGTTGCAACAACGACAGTACCTAGTTAACCGGAAGTTCGAGGACGATTCTGTAATCTATCGATCGATCGATGATCGTCATAATCGACGCGGCTCGATCGTTTCGATCTCGGTCAATGGTAGGTGATGCCAATCCATCGAATATACTGATATGTCTTCTCTTTGTCTATATATATTGTATATCTATCTCTTTCTCTCTTTCTCTCTCTCTCTCTCTCTCTCTCTCTCTTTTCCGTTACGTCAGCGATTTAATTCTGTCGCTTCGATTAATCTAGAGACTCGAATGCGAGTCCAAATCTATTCGTTCGAGTCTATTCCGATTGGAGGATATTCTTTCTATTCGTTTTTCTACCACTCGGTTTCGTACGATCTATTTTTAATTCTTTACATTTGACTGCGTTATTATTTACAAATTTTTATTCGATAATAATATATCAATGCAGGATTTTGAAAGAAAAGTTCTATAAGAGCAAGCACACTCCTATTCTAAAGTAGTAGTCATTCGTGGTGATGTTGACCATAAGGTTCCAGATAGGTTTAACGATTAGAGCAGTTGCCCGGAAAACGAGGAAGACCCGGACAGGTTCGAGTCCATGTCCGGTTAACCTAACGACTCAATCTTTTCAATGGATCCTGCGGTGAGAATTAATGAGAAATGCATCAGATGAAATTTCGACGGGGGAATGACTGAGAGAAGAAAAACATTAGATAATTTAGATTAAATTAGATTAATTGGTAATAATGCCACAACGTAGAAAATCAAGTAATTCGTATCTAAAACATTAATTTCATCTTAAATCGGAAGAAAATTTGGTTATAGAGGACTAGGAACAAGGAAGACAAAAGATAGAAAATCGAGGGTCTTAGAAAAGATAAGGTCGCTAATTATGTAAACTTCTTTTAGATTATCCGATAAGAAGGAAAGCTTACGATAAGGATAGTACCGGAGGAAGATCGAAAAATGTTGGTGGTAGGAAAGAATTCGATGAGAATAAAGGTAACAATGATTACGTAGTTCCGCCAAGCGAAATGGACGAGCCCTTCGTGGCGGATGAAACGTTTAAGGACGAGGGTCCTGGTTCTGTGGAGATATACAAATTGGATTTGTTCGAGGAGAAGAAACCTCAAGTTGGTCTGACGTCGAATGCAAAGGGAGCAATAGTAGGAAATTTGTTGACGGGATCGTTAGCAGCATTACCGACACCGGTGACTACGACGACATCGGGGACGATGAAAACGAGTAATAACAAAAGTAAGGTGCCGAAAAAAAGTTTTCGGCACGGTTGGAAGCTTGAAAAAGCGTCGAGTGGGCCGTTCAAGTCAACGATGATAACTACGACTACGAGTGGTAAGAGCAATAAGGACGAAAAGGACCTTCACGGTGGATCGAATTTCTTGGATTCGGAATTAAGGTCGGAAGTACCGACTAGCGTCGAAGCTTTCGGGGTGGGAGGCGTGCCCGAGTTACAAGTTGGTTGCGAGGGTCTGGAAGCTGCTGGTGGTGCTTCTCCCTTTTCCTCCTCCTTTTCCTCCTCCTTTTCCTCCTCCTTTCCTTCATCGTCTTCTTCCTTTTCCTCGTCGCCTTCTTCTTTAAAACTGAAAAGATCCGTCGAGAATACGAACGTACGAACCGACGGGGGACGTAAGGTCGATCATCCAGCTCCGTTAAACGTCGTTCCGATATCCCTTAATCTCGACTACGATTTATCTGCCGAGAGTTACGAGGAAATGGACGAGCTTTTGAAACTGAAAAAGTTTGAGAACGAGCCAAAGAGAAATAAAGAGAATCGGGGGGACATAGATGCGACGCTAGATGATTTTTTGATTAAGGATAGAAATGTTAAAGAGAGGTTACCGGTAAGGGGCGACCTTGGCAATTGGGCCGAACCGACAGGGGAATCGATTAAAAGGGATAACGACGACTCGAAAGTTAGAAGGGAAAGGAGTTCAGGATCCGACGCAGGGACGAGTGGATACGTTTCGAGTTTAAAGGGTCCTTCTCGAAAGTTACTTTGGCACGACACTGACAACGAACAAAGGGAATCCGATTTATGGGGTTACGGGGAAGACGAAGGCGTAGTGTCCAGCGACGAATTGGATACCGAACAAAGAAGACGACATAGATTGGAACATAGAAGAGAAGAAAAGAAACAAACTAATGATACCGTCAATAGTCAAATCGATAAGATTAGAGAGGACTACGAAAGATCGTTGGAACAGCAAAGACGAAAGCAAGAGGAAATATTGCGTAGGTTTAAGGAACAAGAAAGGAGAAAATATGACGAGGATAGAATGAGAATGGAAGAATTGCGTAAACGAGAGGAAGCAAGAAGACGAGAGGATGAACTTCGTAGGAGAAATTTCATGCCGGATGACAGAAGGGATTTTGATAATAGACGAAGAGAGTTGATGGAAAGGAGAAGATTGGAGGAAAAGGAAGAGGAGGAAAGAAGGAGACAAATCGAAGAGAATAGAAAAAGAAACGAAGATATGCAACGTAGGAGGCTGGAATATCCTCCACCATTGAATTGGATAGATCGGGCTAGAAACGTAAGTAGGGAAGAGGAGGAACGTAATCGGGCTGTTCAAGAGCAAAAATTATACGATTATGAAAGAAGAAGGCAAATGTTGGTGGAGGAAGAGAGAAGGAGGATGGAAGAAGAAAGAAGAAGAATGGAGGAAGAAAGAAGAAGAAGAATGGAAATAGAGAGATCGAGAAGTAGAGAACGAGAGGAAAAACGAAAGCTGGAAGAACGAAAGTTGGAAGAACGAAAGTTGGAAGATTACGTAAGGAGGAATCAACCGGTCGATGTTAGAGCCGATTGGCAAAGAGGAAACGAGTGGAACGTTTCTCAAAGATGGAAGGAGGTACAAGAGCAAAGGAAAGCGATCGAGGCTATCAGGCAAATGAATAGATCAAATAGATACCCTTTAAGTTCGGGATATGAAAGAAGACAGCACGGTCCGTCTGCTCCGACTTACGTCAATCCTAGAAGCTCCTTGGACGAGGCTAGAAGAAGACAAGAGGAAGAATATCGACGACAACTGGAAGAAGAACAAAGACGTAGAATGCTCGAGGAGGAACGAACAAGAGAGATTGATAACAGGAGGGCACAATCGAGAAGATACGAAGAGGAAAGAAGGAGGATCGAAAACATCAGGTTGCAAGAAGAAAGAAGAAAACAGCAAGCGATCGAGGATCAAAGAAGACGTTCAGAATATTCGGTTAGAGTTAGACCGAATCCTGTTACATCGGCTCCAGCTTTTTTGACCGACAGAAGGGAGGATACTGAAAGAATGAGGGAACGACTGAGAGAACGGGAAAGAGAACAACAGAGGATCAGGGAGGAACAAGAAAGGAAAAGACAAGAAATCATACGACGGCAGCAGCACGAAAACAGGTGACACATAGCTAATTACAAATCATATTTTTCTTTCTTGATAGAAGCATTATCAAATTTTCCCGCATTAATATCAGTTTTGGGTTTCGTCTTATTACGGCTGTATGAGAGGGTTTGAACGCGCTAGGTTGGTTACTCATCGTTTATCATGATATTTACAATGACTCCGCACTCCGTATTACGTTTACGCAAAGAGAAATAGCAAACTGTTATCCGATTCTTGTTGCCCGAAGCAAACATATTAGGAACTAACATCAAAGATTTTAAGGATAATGTTGAGACAGTGACCAATCAAATTTAATCAGCCTAGCATGTTCAAACTCTTATAGGTATGATAAAGGAAAACCCATGATCGCATATCGTCGAATTAATCGAAAATCTAGATCTTAACTTATGTTAACCATTTTTAGCGCTAAAACTCAATGGGACAGAGAAAATTACAGAAGAGTTATGACAGAACAGCGCAGGCGGCAAGAAGAAAACAGATTGAACGCGTTACCAGTCAGCGCAAGTATAATAGTTCGCAAAGAAGGATCCTCTTCTTATCCTGCGTTCAATTCGAGAAACAAATTTGTATTCCCGGTGAGCTATCCATTTGTCTGTCAAAGTAATACCTGCTTCCTTCTTCTTTGATATATCTAATCGTTGATACAACTATAGACGATTGAAACTTTACATTGGTGCACCGCGTTGTAACTCTAACTCTAATTAATATTGTATGACTTTATGCTATACGAGGAATGAATATTTTAAGAAAAAAATTCAAATAATAAATTACAAATTTTTGTTAAACAGGATCAATACAACAAGAATACAAAGGTGGCTCAATTTCCATCAATTTCTAGAAAAACAACAACCGGTCCTAATCCTTGCATTTGGGCTGTCGTTCAATGCTGTCCAGTCAACGCGAATCGTCTTCTAAACTGTTTTGAATCACTCGGTTGTCCTGGAGTCAATTGGAATCCTAATCCCTGCAGAGCAGAAATCGAGGATGCTGCGAGAGATGAGGTTATGCGATTTTACAATTCCAATCAGGGAGAAGAAAATTATAAATAAATGACACACCACCGAAACTTTGGTAAAATCGAATCAACTTTTAGATAAATATCATTTTTCTTTCTTTTTTCTTTTTCCTATTTTCCATTACTCTTTTACACTGCGAAGACAGATAATACCTTAGGACAGATATTATTAATTAATGATAAAAAAAGTTTAGATGAAATTTTTCTTTTCTTTTCTTTTTTTTTTTTTGGATATGCAATTAACGCGAACGCATGAGCGATCGATTAGTATTGACTCGCGGTCAAATTTTCATATATTGCCGCAATTAATAATTAGATGTACGTATATATAGTCTAATATATTTTAATATATATATATATATATATATTATAAATAAATTCTATATTAATAAACAAACACAAAATAATATTAACGATACGTGCAACGATAATGTGTCACATTACGCTGAACGTTTTTTTTTTAGGACTAACCCTAAGTCTTATAATTATTGTTTTTCGTATGTAGACGATAAGCTATATCTCTGCAGCTTCCTTATATGTGATATAGATAATGCGACTCGATTCAGTGTAATATATATATACAACGAATATTTATATATGTAACATATGTAATAAATGGATTTCTCAAATCGTCCGATCATTTTCGTGGTAAAAACGTTAATCGCAATTTATTACGATCGTTGACATCGTAAAAAAGAAAAGTATGAAAAGATTTTCTAAACAATTTTATAATTATCTAAAATCTTATATCTCCAATGTGTGTGATTTATCAAAAGAAACTACTATCTACCACTTTTGTGAAACAATTGATAAGAAAATCACGGTTTTACCGAGTGAGAACGAATCCTGAGTAATCTTAAAAGAAAGCTACCAAAGTTTCCTTTCTTTTTTTCACCGAAGCTTGCAAGAAAACTGTGAAAGACAAAGAAAAAAAAAAGAAAAAGTTGAGAGTGAAGAGTGAAAAAAAAAAATTGGAAAAGAAAATAGTTCGACGTCGGACTCGACTAGTTGGGTGTCCAGGTAAAGTTTCAAAGCTCGTTCCGATTCTATTTATCACTTCGTCTTTTATTTCCGTTCGTCACCGTCACCGTCACCGTCACCGTCACCGTCACCGTCACCGTCACCGCCACCGTCACCGTCACCGCCACCGTCACCGTCGTCTTTTTCGTTGTCGTCGATAACGAGGCCATTCAACATTTAAGAGCTTGCTAACGTTTCCCGTCCCAATCAGCCACATTGTACATATATCCGAAAATGCATCCTTCCAACGAATAATCCAACTGGACGATCACGTACTACATCGTGGCTTGCTCAAAAGCAAATACGATCTTTACCTATTGACGTACGTAATCATTTGCCCTAATGCTTCAATCATTTTACACTATGTTCTTTACTATCATTATATCTCGTCACTGTAAACACCAATAACATTTCTTTTCAAACAAATTTCTTTCTTCGGATTTCTTACGACACATTGAGATAAAAAGAAGTACTAAAGATTAAAGTGACTAATGCATATAAAAAGAAAATATTTCTGCATAAAAAATGTCCATAACCTGGTTGTGAATCATAGTAATCATGGTAACGTATCCAATAAATAAATAAATAAATGTATATGCATGTGCACTGGTCAAGGATAACAATTTTTTATCGCGTATCGCGGTTAAGTATATCTCATAGTTCTTAGAGTGCATGAAAAGGAAATAGTGCAACGAAAAAATAATAATCGAAATCGATAAATGTAATTTTGTAGAAAAACGAAAGCAAAGGAAGCAAGAAAAGTAAAACATTGGACATTTAGCAAATCAGATAATGGGTTGGAAGACATATAAATGACATGTGATCTTGATTACAAACGTTAGAAATGTCTTAGGAGACATCTCGAAGCATACATACGAAATCCAATATTGTATTGCTTCCCAAAGGAGAAACAGAGAGAAATTCTATGGGAAATAGGACACCAATGTATATCTGTAAAATAGAAAGGATGGGAAATGTTTTCACGACAGGTGCAACAACGCTACTCGAAGAATCTTGAAAGCTATTGTTTTATCTCTTCGATACTTCCTTCGATATACGTTTCTTTCCATCTTCTTCTATTATTTCTTTCTTTTTTATTATTTCTTAACCATTTCGTATTTTTTCGTCAACAAATTATCGTTACTTCACAAATATAAATTCAAAGATTTTGATATGACGCGAAAGGGTGGGTTGAGAAAAGTTTTGAAAAACTTTGTTCTCTTTCATTTTTTTCAAATAGAAACTATTCCACTCATATATTCAGCATACAGAACGAGTAATACCATACATTTGACGTTACATAATAATTTGTTTATCGATCAAATAAAAAGTATTGAATTCTAAAGGGTTAATAGGATAATAACCATTGACTTTATTCGATTAAAAAAAGAAAGAAATTGGACGAAATTGTTTGCGGTTATAATACGTGAATGACCACAGACTAACGGAGAATAAAAATAAAAAGGAAGAAATAGAAGAAAGAAATAATAAAAGAGAACGTCCGATGTACTGTGAAACGATAACCCCGAACATCGCCACCATCACCACACACTGTCAATTACACTAATTGCCAATTCGCCATTCAGTTTCATTGGATTATGCATAGGAAAAAATGATCTGCCAATGACATATGGTGACAATAAACAAATATCCACCAATTTCTACATCTGTTTAATTAATAGGATTCCCTTTTAACGCTCGTTAATGATCATAAATTCGTCGTCGAACTAATTTACAAATAAATTCATTCGTTTTCGTGCATTATACATAATCCTTCGAAAATATTTATTGCGAGAAATCATTTGACTAATTAATGAAATGTAATACAGGATTGTCCAAATATTCCTACCATAAAAAGAAGACAAAAAATGAAAAAAAAGAAACGAATAAGATGAGAAGATGGGAAGAAAGGATCCTTTTACGAAAAGTTAGTTGAGAAAAGAAGAGTGGTATATTCCGTTTCTCAGGTGAACTCACCGTCGCTGCGCTGTGCTATTCCCCTTTTATCGCCCTTTCCCATATTTTCTTCTCCTTCTGACCTTCTTTAAGACGAGACGACCCACGTTCTTTTGCTCTCTCCTAAAACCCAATTGGAGAAATGGTTTCGTTATTCTTCGCAAATACGCTTAATACAATCCCATTTGTATGTGTGGAACAAATATCAAGAGAATCTAATAATGTACGAGTTCGTATCTTTACTATGGTGCAATCAAGAAAAAAAATATAATATTTGTCATTTAATTTTATTATAAAAGATGTTGCAAAGTATTACGGTATAATTTCAGGGATGGTTTCGGTACGACAAATATCGAAAATATGACTATATAAATTTTGTTCTCGTTTTGGAGCGTTAAAACCACTATTTCAGTTATACTCACATATTTGGAAACCATCCAGTGTATATATCTTTCCATTTATAGTATTTACAACTATGAAAATAATGGTAATTTCAAAATCATATATATATATATATATATATTCCTTTTCTTTTTTTTTTTGTATAACAATTATTAAATATTGAATTTTTTATATATATATTTTTTCCTCTTTCTCATTTTTCATAACAACGATCGCGAAAACGGTAGTAATTTAAATCTCGTAGATATATATCTCGTATAGTTATATACATATATGAAAATGTCTGTTTTTTAAACATACACGTAGATAGATAATTGTACAGCAACGTTAGTTGCATTTATTTTCATCGGTGGAAAAAGCTCAGTACGAAGCTTTTATCCGGAATATTCTGATGTAGAGGTAGAACGGTACGATAAAATGTGAGATACAAATTGACATGGAATAATGCGATACGGTTCTTCGACCGTCCCGCAAAAGGTTCATGTGGCAGGAGTAATATTTCCTATTTTTCCGACATTTACATGTACGCGTAAATACATATACATGTTTTCTCACTTCTACTTACAGTCAACAATTTCTACCTATGCTTTATGTACTAACTATGCATATAAATAATACATAGATAGATATCTACATATCTATTGTACAAATTTACTCTAAGCGTATTGTGAAATACTTTGAAACATCTAGTTTACATTGTAATCCTATGAAAACTAAATTAATCATAAGCTTTATTAAACGTCTCAATGTTTATAATATAATCTTGCGTTTTTTCTTTTTAAAAACTTGTTAATTATACTACATCACATATTTCTACAATTATCAATGCAATCTAAAAAATCAAAGATCCTTCCATTCCACAATTACATATTCTCAAGCCTATATTATTATCGAAATGAAAAGTGAATAATATACGAAATTAAAGGGAAATGGTTTGTTAGTGTTTTTCTAAAACATGGCAAAATACTTTCTTCCTGCTTTTCTTTTCTTTTTATGAATATGAAAACGACAAGAAGAAGGGTATCCCTTCTATTTCAAGTGGTACACGCGTCTATCAAAGATGTAATAAAAAGAAAATGTAAAAAGAGAAACACAACGAAAGAAGAAAAATAAAAGGAAAGAGATGTTGAAAGTGAGGATGAAAGTGGGAGTTGAGGTGGTAGTAGTAGTGGTGGTGATGGTGGTGGTGATGGTGATGGTAGAGGGTCGCTTTTACGATCGGCACTGGACCCTGATACGAACACGTTCTCTCATCCTCCTCGTGCTAACTGCTACGCTCGAAAGCTCTCTTTTTTTTCCTTCTTTTTTCTCTTCTTCTCTTTTCTTTTTTTTTTTTTTTATATGTACGTCCGATGGATCGATCGTTCGGCAGACACCGACAAGGGGTTCCCTAAACATTGAAACGCGTTTGCCGATCAATGACTTTCGGAACCCGCTTATATTACTCTTTCTCTCTCTCTTCGAATACCACTAAAAGCAAAGATTTTACCTTAGACTTTTCTAAAACTAGTTTCCATCGCGTAAGCATTTTTTCCTTACCCGAAACGAATATACGTGCTCTTTTTACGATAATTCCATATTAGATGAATTAAATGAAATGCATTATATCGAGTTAAAACACGCGCACGTAGATTAATTTTTTATTATCTGTATCATATTCTTTTAATTTCACGAATTATCTTGTATAAATAAACAAACAAAAAATATCTAATATAATCCTTTGAAGTTCATTGAACGCGAGCATATACACACACATATCTGCAATCGCGCACGTGCATAGGTGCATAACAAATTTGATCGCAAACTACTGTAGAAAAATATTCAAACGTATGTATTCTATTCTCTCGTATGTTTTATTATTCGCATATGTAACCCGTATATGTGATCGATAAAAAACGGTACAAAAATACGAGAGGAAAAAAAAAAGAAAAGGAAGAAATAAAAAATAAAAAATAAAATAGAAAAAAAAAGGGAGAGAGAACATTTTACTCTGCAAATGTCGTTGATGGTACTTGAGTACGATAATTCAAAACGAAATCATAATTTCTTTCCCCGTCTAACCTCCGACAAGATATTCTCTGCACGGACGCGATCGTACATCACTCGAAGATAAAGCTTTCCACCCTTTTGCTTCTACGAGGTAGTATAATAAAAAGCGGCCGCCATTACGAATCTGCTCGCTCTAGCTCTCCATTTACAAGGTAACGCAGAAAAAAAAAAGAAAAGAAAAGAAAAAAAAAAAAAATATTGCGGGAAAAAGTTCCGTCGATAATTTTGTCTCTCTCTCTCTCTCTCTCTCTCTCTCTCTCTCTCTCTTCGTCGTCATATTTTGAAAATATTATATAAATATATAGGTAAAAAGAGTGAAGCAAAAAATTTGACCGATGCGAGATCATTTGGAAAATTAAATTACATATTTTTTTTACTACTAAATTAAACTTTCTCAACTACTTTTTATTTTAATATAAAGAAAAAAAATTAATTAAGTACGAATCATTTTAGCAAATTTTTACAATAACGTAAACTTTTGATTGACCGATGAATTTTTTTCACTTTTTTTTTTTTATACAAAACATTGTTTCTATTTTTCAATTTTTTTTCGATTTTTATCATACTTCTATAGAAGAGTATTCAACTACGTGTACTCATATATTATATTCTTTTTTGAGAGAGAGAGAGAGAGAGAGAGAGTCATTAAAAGCGAGAAGAGCATCGTATCGTCGTTCGCAAACGTTGTTAACAAACAAAGGAAGTACCCGCGTGTGTTACTTGTATATACGTGAGACGAATACTCACGAATAGTTTGAATACCTCGCGAGCGGTGTTTCGAGGGTCAAGGAACTACGAGCAAGAATTCCACTTGCGTTATTACGGAGAAAAGCTTTTAGCCTTTCGCGTTCTACATTGTTCGTTTGTTTAAGCTTTTTGAGAAAGCAATAGAGAAAGAAAGAGAGAAAGATATTATAAAAAAAAATAGCAATGACTTTTAGTTAAGATCGTCATTCATTTATAACTTCTGCTTCTTTAATTTCCTTCCATCGTTGTATGCAACCAACAATTTCATTCACTTGCATGATGGCATATTCGTTTGTATATACCATATAAGTTATATAAAAAGCTACAAACCATTCGATTTCAAATCGAGAATATTTATTTTGAAGATTTTCATTGAAAAATCAAAATTAAAATGAGAAAAAATTTGATTTCCATAGCTTATTTTATTATATTCCATTTTTGCAATTGTCTTATATTAATGATCAGTAATATAATTAATATTATTTCAAATTTTGTTCGGATTTGAAGGATTGGTGTAGTTTCCTATATAACTCGTATTATATATAAATAATAATACGTGTATTAAATATTTATATAGACTTTTGTAGGAAACATATAAAACATGTACCATTGCATCCAGTTTAAAAAATTCCACTCGAATCAAGTAAGGCTCGTCGAGGAGGAAAAACAGGAAAAGGAAAAGGAGGAAAAGACGACGACGACGACGACGACGACGACGACGACGACGACCATTGAAATGCCAAAAGAGAGTAGGAACATTTGCCCTAATCTGAGAGCTATGACAAAAGATAAAGGAGCAAGAATAAGTCCTAAGAAAGATCGTACAAGAAAGAGAAAAAATTCTTTTCGCGTGTTTCCTTCGATATAAAAAAGTTACTAAAAAGAAAAAAAAAGGGAAAAAATAAGAAGGAGGAAAGGCCAAAAAAATGATATAAAATATGATACCCGTATTCCAAGTATTTCTTCTATGTTCAAAGAGAACTTTGATGTAGCTCTTTGATATGTGTCCTGGTAAGACTCAATGTCTCCATGAAAGAATAATAACCCATGCAGAAATTCATCCTACACTCTCCCCTCTCTCTCCAAGGAATTTTGTTTTATATAATGTTTTAAACATAAATACCAAATGTGCATAAAAAGGCTAAAAGTTTAGAAAAAATTAATTTTTTAAATTATCAAACTTTTCAAGACAATCTTGTTTACGAATTGTAAAATTGCAAGCCTCACTTGTAACGCTACAAATCTAAATATTAATCTAACAAATTTTCTAAAATAGTAATTAATTTTGAAAATCATCTATGAACTTTCAACCCACCAAGAAATTATAAGCAAACCTTGTAGAAACTTCCAAAGAAAGAGAAAGAGTGAGAGAAGGAGAGAGAATATATATTTTTGATTAAAAGAAAAACGTTTAGAATTTACAAGTTTTTTTTCTCGAAATATCTTAAATGTAAATGCTTATGTATATATGTATATAGGTGGTTCGTATTCGAAATATTTCATTAATTATGCATACGCATTTATCTTTCGTTTAGGGTCGAAAGTGCGAAGGAAAGGAATAGGAAAGTGGAAAATGTTGAGAATTTTCACTGTAAAACGTAACTCTTTCTAAGAGTTTCAAATGAACGAGATTAAGGTAGGAAGGAAGAAAGAAAGAAAGGAGGGAGAAAATAAAGAAGAAAGAAAGGAGGGAGGAAATAAAAAAAAAAGAAAGTCTCTTAACACTTTTTCGATCTATGTCTAACACGAGGATGCCTTTAAACGTTTGAACCTTACGAAAATATATTGAGAGAACTATACGAAATATATTAGTATGGATATCAATAACTTTGTGAATTGGAATTTAGCGCAAGTAAGATTTCATCTTCTCGTTTGAGAGAAACTTATTAAAGCAGAGAGAAAAGGGAAGCAAAGTTAGTAAAGGTAGATTCACTAAGAATATCGTGGGAGCGAATACAAGAGGTTCAATTTCGCGATCGTGCCAACGACTCGAATGTAATCATTAGAGTCTATCTAGTCTGAAGATCAAAGACGCTGAAGTTTGATAAGAGTCTATCAATAACATTACTTCGTCACCTATAACGCGATAAGAATTTCAAATGAATTCTTAATAACTTACAGGTGAACGTTAATTGACAATTAAGTGAACACATCATAGATAGAATTTAATATAGACACACAACAACGATTAATTTATAATATTTAAAATGTAATCATCAATTTTATCGAGCTATTACACGTCGTACTAGGTTTTAATAGAGTAGTATAATAATCCCAAGTAAAACGATAAATCATCGTTACTAGGTGTACATGCATACATATGCCGTTATGCTTATGATTCCGAAACGGACCTAGCTTCAACAACCGAGAATTCGTAAATTATTCTCATTGGTCTATTCCATCTGTACTGGTCAAATTATAGTAGGGTCGTCAAATTAAAGAGAGAGAGAGAGAGAGAGAGAGAGAGAGGAGAGAGTGGTTGGTTTTGGTAAGACGCCTAATGGTGATCCGAAGCAAATGCAAAGATATTAAAACACCGTGTCTGTAGCAATCGAGTTAAATATAATCTTTCTTTAATATATATTATCTTTTCATTTAATGATAATTAAAAAAAATGAACTACCTGTATTCCCTCAAGAGGTATTTCTCTATTCTTTGTAGTAAACTTTGATAATATACCATAAACGTTATATCGATATTCTTTAACAGGTAGATAACGAGACTATAAGAACTCCGGTATACATAAATGCACGTATGTATCGTTTCGTTAAATGGTCAAACATACCAACCGGGTGTGTCTGAGATCGATTTTATATCTGTAATAGCGATAGACATTTATAAAATTGATGAAATAGAAATCGTCCGATTCGTGATAAAAAAAGGTACTTTGTGATACGAGAGCGGAATCGAAAGACGCGCGACGTTGTTAATGTTTTACTCACCTTTATCCCGTAATAACATTCGTCGCGGAGGTGTCAT